TGTATTTAGGTTCGAAATACAACACTATCTTGGACTGGTTGCTGTTTTGGGGACTTTCCCTTCCATGGAGAACTTTTGGTCATTGGTGACCTCTTTTGTGATAGTCATACACTCTGATGTCTTGCTCCAAAATTTTATATTGTTTTTAACTATAAATCCCTTTTGGAATTATGATTCATTTTATATTTTATAAATCTCATTGGTATATGCTGAACTATCTGTTCTTGCACGGGCACATTTTGCCTTCATTTATCCACTTTGTATTTTTTATTTTCCTACATGGTTTTGCAATATTTGATTTATTGTTTTAAATTTACACGTAATCAATATTAATTTTAATGAAAATTTTATTTTCCTGATCGAAATAATAATTATATATTTATCAACTAAAGCTTTTCGAAAGCTATTTTCTCACTCACGAGGAAGGAATGACTGATGGAATAGTTTCAAGATGCCTGTTGCCAATATGGGTCCTTAATTAGACTATTGCAGAGCTTGAAATAATGCACAACATGCAAAACATGATAAACTCTCTTTAACAATTACTTTTCTGTGCTTCTGTAATGCCATATTAAAGTTTTATTTAATTGTAAACCATAGGGCACCAATGAAGTCTTAGCAACAGTTTTAATAAAAATTTTATATTTTTGAAAGAAATATTATTAAACATTGATTAGTTAAAGCTTTTAATAGCATATTTTTTGAAACGAGATGGCGCAGCGGATGGAGCGTTTGCCTTCCAATGAGGTGAACCAGGTTCGAATCACAGCGATGGCTGGTCGATACGAATCCGCATCCGGCTTGCACCAACCACAGTGCAGACGTAAAATATCCTCAGTGGTAGACGGATCATGGGTAAGAGTTCCTTTGCCATCAGGCTAACCGTGGGAGGTTCTCATGATCTTCCTTTGGGTTAGTTCTATCAAAAAGTCATCCGCGAAAGCAAATTTCTCCCAATACTTGATCCAGGGCCAGGATAGCCTGGTTGGTAGAGCACTGGGCCCACGTCCAAAAGTTCGTGGGTTCGATAACCGCTGGCCGAAGACTCCCCATGCAGTTAATGTTGACTGATACAAGTTAAATCTGTCGAGTAGCAAAGTCCTCCATGTTCCCAAAACAAATCAATACCTTCAGGGGTACTGACTCAGGAGCTTCCTTGTCTTCTGGATTGGTTCAAAATTACAAGGCTACGGAGATGAACATAAGAAGTCGTAAGCCCAAAAATTGGGTCAGCTGTTCAACGACGGTAATAAAATAAAATAAAATAGCTTATTTTAACTCTCACGAGGGAGGAGTGAATAATGACATATTTTCAAAATGCGTGTTGCCAACTCTGGGTCCTTAAAAGGTTATTACTGAACAGTGCGCAACATGGTTTGTTTTTAAGGATGGCTGGCATCAGTCCCTCGTGATCCATCGATCACTCCAAAGCTGAGGAAGAAGCAGCAGCATGTGTTGTATCGAGTTTCGTCTGAGAATGTCACATTGCCGTCAAAAACCGCAGTGACAGATGTTGTGTCACGGATTTTGATGAGAATAACTTTATCTTTGACGATAACATCTCAGAAATTTTCACTTTATCTTTCGCGATCGAGGAAAATGTTTTCGTTTCCATGTTTATGAGTGGTGCATGGAACAATTAACGAGAATTGTTGAAAGGTATCCTTGTTTGACATCGCATGTGAAAATAAAAAGAAATGAGGCACTTGGTTTCCAAAACCAGATCGGAAATATATTTTTTTTCCCACTCTGGGTTTCATATTCATTCAGCGATTTCAATCAAAAGCAGATTCTTATTATTTAAATTTTTTCTAAACATAAAATTTAACATTTTATGTTTTAATTTTGTATTTAATTTTTGTATATATTTTTTTTTGTATTTAATTTTTTCTCGTTTTTTTTTCTTTCAGTGATTCTGATGAAAAGCATTTCTTTTTCGTTTTTCATTTTATTCATTATTACTAGTATTAACATTTTTACTTTTATGTGTTATTTTAATATCCTTCTGATTACTATTATTATTACATATTAATTACGATTTACATTTATATACATAATTATTAGATTTTTAAATTTTTTTAAAATGAATTTTGCTATTTTCTCTGTTTTCTTCAGGGATTTTGATCAAAAACAGTTTCTTTTCGTTTTTTGTGATTATTATAACGATATTTTTTATTCGATTTTTAACTTTAGGTGTTATATTCTATTTATTTCTAAATTTTCTTCGGAGACTCTGTTGATATGCAACCCTCTAATATTTATTATCTATCATTGCCACTGATGATTTTTTTAAATCTAAAATATTTATTTATTTTTTTTTTTTTTTTGCACAATTTTTCAAATTCTTGTGCTGATTGAGATCAAAAGCTCCTTTCCGCTTTTTATTTTAAATGTAATCATTATTATTAGATATAGCTGACGTCATTAATTTTTATTTTCATCAAGTATTTAAGCTTCTTACCTTTCACATTATTGCTATTAATTTCTTTGCCAGTTATCAAAGAATATTCCCTGTGCACGACCAGAACAAAATATGTATAGAATGTACGTTCATAATAACAAACCACAAAATAAATAAAATAATAAATCCTTATTTAAAAATATCAAGAATATCAGCGGACCATATTTGTTAAAAATAGCTGATATAGTTTTTCATGCTTTAAAATATTATAACTAATGAATATAGCTCAAAACATAGCATAGTACATATATTGACATACTATAGTTTCAGTTCTATAAACAAGAAATTTTCTCCGTGTCTAAACGTCAAATAAAGGTAGAGAAGTAAAGAGACAAGCAAGTGTAGAGTGATTTAACCAATAGGAACAAGTTTGAACAAGGAAATAGCAAGGAGGAGATAAGAAACAGATATGAGGGGATTTGGCAACTGATTAAATTAAAACAGATTACGAAATATTCTCCAAATAGTCTTCCAAATTGTTCTTGTTTATAGAACTAAAACTATAGTATGTCCCTTTATGTATTTTCCTTTGTGATTTATTCATGTTTTTTAATTTAGTCTACATAGCACAAAATTTACCCTATTCTTTGTCGGATTTAAAATATCATGTTTGCATTTTAAAAATAAATTTCTTATGAATGCAAGCTAATGTGAATTAAAGTTCAAAAAATATTCAATTTTAAAGCATATTAGTTAAAAGTCAATTAAATTTAATTCCAGACACAAAATGCATTGATCCAAATTTACTAAGCAAGGCTTTCTAAAAACATAATTTTTTTTTCCTTCTCTGTCCTTTTATTATAAATTGTCCCAAAACCTTTTATTTCATTTCTTTTAATAAAGTTTTAATTGATTTTTCTCTCATGTAATTTTAAAATTTACTCATAATGTATACAAAAAACATTTTATATGTCACTTTGTGATCTTAGCCGTAAAGGTATTAGACAAAAAGTAAAATTAATTCATCCGTGAGAGAATGCATTCGCACTAAAAAAAAAGTAACTGTTTATTCGTAATCTCGCATAAACTTTGCCTCGTAAATTAAAAGTGATATAAATGACAACTAAGAAAATAAATTAAACTCATGAAGCGTATATGAAATCCATTAATTTGCATTCAAATCAAGTTGTATAAATCAACTTCCTAGAAATACCAAAAAAGAGAAAAAAAATTTCTTCATCGGACCTTGTCTGTACAATTTCAAACTTTGTCTTCCATAAAAATATAAACACAAACACAAAGGCGAGGCAGCGTTTATTCATCATCATATTCCCTTTTTTTCCCTTTTCCTTCTTTTCCTTTTTAAAAACATTTTCCGATTCTCATCGTCCGTATTAATGACTTCCTTATAATTATCTGTCTCAAGATTCTTCTGCTTTTCCGGAGATTTTAGCAAATGAGCGATGACAAGGCGTTGCTTTAAATCTGCGCCAGCGTTTCACATAAAACTTTGTTTTTCTTTTACAAAGTTGGCACTTTTTTTTCCTTCTTCCAGTGCCATCGTCTCAATCGGTCTTTTCTCTCTCTCGAAATGGCACCTAAAGGGCATCCTTTTCTTGAATGCGTAATTCGGCAAAACGTCTTTTCCAGCCAAACTCTTTGCTTTCCGTTAACTTAAAACACGAGAAAATAATTCGCAGAAATAAGAACTGACAATCCGTCTTCTTTAATTCAGTCCCTTTTGTTTTGGTCTAGCGTAGAACGGGTGAAGGCGTGCCAGCCAAGCTCTCTCCCCATCTGCTACATCGCCAAATACCTTTTGACATGCCAGCAAAGAAGATGTGTGGAGAGAGGACTTTTGCATTTAATTGAGAAATGAGAACTCGCCTAGTTCGTTAAAGAAATCTCAAGTTGCCCAAGCGCATTACGACTGTCTGATCGGATTTATACCAGGACCACCCCATCCGCAAAGACTCTTTTTGGCGCTGAGAAAAAGAAAGGTTGGCTTCCTTTTTACCTTTCACTCAAATTTAATAGAATCTCTTCTGCGTTTGAAGGTGTCAAGTTGCAATCAAGGAGACATTTGCATGAGGACACAGACGTTTTTTTTCTTCTTCTATCACCTTGGGGTGTGTAAGCTGGGAACGTTCTAATAAAAGTTAATAAAGTGGCCGAGAGTCGCACGGTTTTTTTGTAGTTCTCTTTTGCTTTATACCGTTTTTTTTTATTTTCTTTATTTTAACTGTCTTTCAGGTTTTGTTTCACTTTTCTTAAGTTGTTGAAGACATTTGGAAACTTAAATAGTAAAAGAAAGAGATGTCAGATTTTTATCTTCATTTCGTTGAGCTACAGTTGCGATTTTGTGTGACTTTGCAATTGTATACTTTATTCGTATTTCTTTTTTTTTTCGGTCTGAAATGTTCTTAACCAATTATTTTCATAAAGTTAATCTTTCTGAAAAATTGAATGGTTTTAAATGAAGGAAACGGTAGTTTGTGAAATCTGTATGCAAAATTTAAATGAATTATAGTCCAGAAATTAGTTTTCAAACAATTATTTCAATTACAGATATTTTTTTAAACTGTCTTTCAGGTTTAGTTTCGCTTCTTCTGAAGTTCTTGAAGACATTTGGATACTTAAATAGGGAAACGAAAGATAGTGATGTCCAGATTTTTATCTTCATTTTGTTGAACAGGTGTGATTTCTATTTATTTTATTTATTTTTGGTGAAAATTATTTCAATAAAAATAATCTTTGTGCAAAATCAAATGATTTCAGATGAAAATAAAAGCAAAATTATAATTAATTATAATCTAAAAATTAGCGCAGTAATAGTTAGCTCAATGATTAGCTCAACATTTTGAATAATACAGTTCATTCTTTTTTTACACTTGAGGGAAAACGTATGACATATGAGTGTTTCTGATGAAGAAACCTTGCTGAATCGTCCCAAATCACGTAATAAATAAACTCATGTCTTCTTTTTTACACAAATTTTTGAAGAAATTGAATAATAAGTTCTGCATTTAACTATCAAATTTAATTAATTAATTATAACAATATTTCATTAAGACTTATTTAATTCAAAATATTTAATAAAATATATGAAAATTAAATTTTAAATAAAAGAGATTGTGTAAAAGGTGAAGAAATTTCAAAGAAATTCAAGAAATTCTGTGAAACTAAAAATTCTGTGGAACTAAAATTTTAAGAATTTCTGAAAATTCTGGGAAAACTCCGAAGGAAAAGAAATTTTGTGAAACTAAAGGTACGTGGTGATAAAGGACTTCTTTTTTAAATATATTTTCTAACGGCTGGCAAACTTCTCGAATTTTTATTACTGTTACATAAAACTGTAACTATATATACATATTGGTGTAGTTTCTTTTCCAAAATGTCTAGGATAGCTTATTTTATAGCATTTTTGGTGAAAAATATTATATTGTCACATTACTGCAATTCCTACCGATAATACCTAATAACATGTTGAAAATAAGTTATTTCTGAATAATAAAAAAATAAAAATCAAGTTTTTTCAAATTTTTTTTTATTGATATGAAAGTACAGAATATTTCTGTTTGAATCAAAATTGACGGGCATGATTCTAGATTAAAAATGACTTTTTTTTTAATTTTTAATTTTTAAAAAAAAAAAAAAAAAATTCTGCCGTAATATCTAAAACAATAACCCCATACAAAATTTATTCAGTTTCCGAATGATGCGATACTTCCAAAGGGGAGATGTTTTCCCCGTCACTTCTTAATATGAGTTTTCTAAGAAACTCTTTTAGCTACAAAATTAACAAGTCGGTTTGTCGCGGAACATTCCGGGACAAAAGATAGCAATAACACTAAGAGACCTTTCGAAACGAAGAACGTGCTCAAGAGCTCGAAAGGAACTCGTAATGAATTTTCAGACAAAGGGTGGTTACGAACAAAAATGTTCTGTGCAAATTCTGACGGCTTCCCCCATACCCCTTTCCAGGCACGCTTTTCACCAACAGACAGACAGAGAAATCTTACTCTTCAAGACTTTGTGTGAGTTTTCGAATCATTTCAGAAAGAAGGGAAAATTATCAAACTGTGAGGATTTCCAATTGCGACCAAGTTTAATTCAGGGCCACGCGTTTAATCATTAGATCAGGCGAAAGAGTTTCATTTTTACGCAATGCTTCCTAAAACTTTTTTACATCGCCAACTTAGTTTCTGCTAGGATAACGGCACTATTTGAAGCCGTACATTACCAACCAAGCCAAGGTGGGGAACGATTAGTGAGGCACTTAGTCCGCAGAACAAACTTTGAGGGATGGACTAAAAGGCAATATGGCACGTTCCTGAGCAATTAGCCGCTGATTTACAAAGTTTAATCATGTCTCCATGTGGGATTGGTAACCACCACACCACCGCCTACCACCCACAATCTTCTTGGCGCGATTATTCTGCCAAGACATTCCTGATTCCCGTCTCCAGAGAAGAACCATTCCTATGTTTTACTATCGGTGCTCAAGTTTTATTGGTGATTTTTAGCACTTTTTCTCTTCGAAGCCAATAATCTTACTTCTTTTTGGCGGTGGCGGGTGGGAATGGCAGGATTTGCAATCGGATGATATTACCTCGCGCAAAAATAACGTAAACCCTTATTAAAGGACGAAAGTGGGTTGGTCATTAATTCAAATTAAAAATTTTGTTTGCCTTAGCTGAAGGATAAAGTGGTGGCGATGTTTTGCCTCGCCTGCTTTCCAGCGCCTTGGGTTTTAAATAAACCTTCTTAAAAATTTTTTCTGTCCTTTCTGAGAATACATTTTGGCTCTCATTTTGCCGTATATTTACGGTCTTGGCGAAGAAATGGGATTCGGCAGTTAAGCGCTATGTAATCACCATTTCTTCCGGACAGGCTGGACGTTATGAAAGTAATGGGTTTCTTTTCCGTCTCCTGAATGGCCGCTTGACAAATAGACCCGCGAAAACTTCAAACATAATAACGAAATATGAAAGACGTAAATATGATGAGACGAAATAAAAAAAAAATATTAAGATAAATTTATTTTTTAGCTGAAAGAAAAAAAATGCGGTGAATACGAAATTGCGTTATCAGTGATTAACAAAACGGAAGACACTATAAAAACTGGTTTTCCACTCTTCATTCAAAAGAGTTATTTTTAATGATATCATTGAGAAAAGAGGATTTTCATGATTAAAAATTTTTGTAGTAGATTTGGAAATAGTATGGCAATCACACTTGAAGTAAAAATTTAATTATGCTTTAAAATAAAAGTTCAATTAATTATATTTGAGCAAAAGTTGTGAAAATTAAAGGTGGGAATTGTTTGTATTCTAGTTTGATATCATATTCTGGTCATAAAAAGAATTGAAGAAATATATTGAGCTCTTAAAAAATTTATTCCACTGTAATTAAATCTATACGAAATGAAAAAAAAAATTACATTGCAACATATGAAAAGAAATAGAATTACTTGCAGCTCGGTAAAAATATTTTATACTAAAAACGTAAATTTCATGCTATAAAATTAGATACTTTTCATTTGAATAATAAAACTGAAACTCAAGCGGTAACTTTTATTTTATCATCACAGCATTATCATAGAATTAAATTTTCATCATCACAGCAATATCTTATTACATTTTTATCATAATCAGAAGAGAGACCTCCTTCTAAAGATAACTTGTTCACTTCAAATCTATTCTAAATAATCTATTCCAAAGCAAACTAGTATTTGCATTACAATTCAATGAATCTATCCATAAAATTGGATACTTTTCACTTGAATAATAAAACCAAAACTCACTCAGTAACTTTTATTTTATCATCACAGCATTATCATAGAATAAAATTTTCATCATCACAGCAATAACTTATTACATTTTTATCATAATCAGAAGAGAGACATCCCTCTAAAGATAACTTGTTTACTTCAAATCTATTCTAAATAATCTATTCCAAAGCAAACTAGTATTTGTATTACAATTCAATGAATCTATGCATTGAATCTACCCATAAAATTGGATACTTTTCACTTGAATAATAAAACCAAAACTCACTCGGTAACTTTTATTTTATCATCACAGCATTATTGTATTGTAGAATTGAATTTTTATCATCATCGCCGCAATATCTTATTAATTTTTTTATCATGATAACAGGAGAGACATCTCTCCACAGATAATTTGTCTATCCAGATCAAATCAATTGTATTCTAAATAATTTATTCTAAATCAAACTGTTTGATTTATAATTCAATCAATCTATAAATTTTGAAAACACTAAAATCAGCTGCAACCTAAATTTGTCTCTAAGAGTTATGCTGAAATAGAGCAGAAGAAGACATAAATCATTCATACCAAGATTTTAGTGCAAAAAAAAATTAAATTTTATACTGCACCAAATGCAAAGAATTTAATTTATGGAGCAAAGTATTTAAATTAAAATTCACCAAATACAAGGATTTAAGACATTCAGATTAAGGTTTAAAATTTTAAATAATCTGCAGCCTTTATGTGTTCCAAAACAATAAAGGCTGCAGCTGATATAGAACAAGAATTGAATAGAACAAGAAATTAGACAAGAATCTAGTGAAATAGAACAAGAATTTAGACATAAATCACTCCAATCAAATTAAGCTCACTGTACAAATGCATCAGGTTTACACTGCACAAATGCAAAAGGATCAAATTTATTGTGCAAAATATTCCAATTAAAATTTACCAAACGCAAGGATTTAATTTAGAGTGCAAAATATTCGAAACCAATCCGAATTCAAGGAATTTAACTTTAAGTGTAAATCATTAATATTTAATTTGTACCAAAATTAGCTGTAGCCCTTATTTGTTCCCGTCACTAGTGGTGCTTTTATTCTCGCCTTTTTTAATTATGATCTGTTAGATCTGATACGATTTTATTTAATTTTTTCCAACTTAAACCTTATTTTGAGTGTCCTGCTTTTAAAACATATATTCGCTGTGATCTTTACAGTACATTCTATGTAATACTTGACGCTTAATAATAATATTGCTTATTTTTTTTAAGTACAGTCGAACTTTTTTAATGAGCTTTAAGGGACCACTCGGTATCGAATCGCACAGAAGGATAACGAGCTGTTCTAAAGAACGGGTCCACGAAAGGCTCGTAAAGAATGGGTTCGTGGAAAATCATTTACTTTCGTTCATACTGACTATATAATAAATATAGTGCTTAATTTATTCATTTTTTTCTTTTCTGTTATGAAGAAAATAAGTTACTTAATTTTCCTTTAATTGTATCTTTGTAGTGTTATAGTTTTTCAAATAAGATTCATGGCCCGAAAAACATCTTTATTTGCACCCCTATATTCGAAATCCCTACACATATCTTTATTGCTCCCCTATATTTTCCAGCGCAACTCAAAAGCAATTCAGAACTTTCAGGACGGTTCAGCTTAAAATTTCGAAATTATAACCATCGTTTCAATTATTTTTTTCTCTTCTGCTTTAGCTAGAATTTCAGCTACAATATCCTCGGGGGTAGGTTTCTTGGAAGTGATAACATTGGTGTGTCAACGCATCTTTCAAATTCTTCGCAGCTCATTTTCAAATGTTCGAGGTCGTCAACTTCGTCGAAATATTAATCGCTAAAACCGAGGTTAGTTCTTCGTTAAATCGGGATTCCTCTTAAATCAGAGATCGTTATAATTGTTATAGA